TTTGAGGCTGCATTTGGGTTTTGCTTTCTGTTATCACCATGGCTGAGTTCATCATGGATTACTTGCCAGCTGTGTGGGGCAGCCAATTTCTGCTGACCTGCTGGATGCCAGCTTGAAAGAAGTTTCATTTTGATTCACTTTTGCTTTGCAGGAGAAGACAAAGAGGAGAAGTATTTCCCAGTGAGGTGTTACTGCAGTGTAGTTGTGTTGCACAAGAGGAATTACCACAGTGATAGCAGTAAGCCTCTGTTGAAAGTCCTAGGGAACAAGTGTAAGCCTTGGAACTGAAAGGTTAATATTTTCCCCTCTATCATCACTTATTGACCCACACTGAATATATATAAATTTCTTTTTTGTCTGGATTGAGGGATATCAATATAGTTGGCAAGCGTTTAGTCTGAATTGTCAGATTTTACATCTTCACCACAAAACTTACTAGGATTTTGGTCTGCCTGATGTGTGCAAGTGCATCTTTAACTTCAATTTATCCCTTTTCATTGTTTGTCTGCTAGTTTCATCTGCTTGCTGCCATAAGCAACAGATGTGCGATAAACTGGGCAGAGCAAGCAAAGGACACTCAAACTAATAGCAGAGTTAGTTCAGGTGTGTTTGATCACTGTTTCTCAAATACTTCATGAGTCTATCTGCAAATGTCAGAAAAAACAAAGCTTGGAAGAAGAAAATTGTTTTTGATGATATTTTGTTAAATGAAAAAGTAGTCGCAGTTGACAGTAAAGCAGCAGTCTAATAGCCTTAAAAATCTTGAAGTTTCATTCCTATCACCCTGTCAGACTTTCATGTTAAGGTCTCGGAAAACACTGCACAGCACAAGTCCTATTTTGTGATGTGGAGCCATTATTCATGTGCAATTCTGCTGGATTATTTCATCTGTTTCTTTTGAAATGGTGGAGTTTGCGTGGGGACTTTCAGAGGAAGTGATCCAGAGCATCCCTGGAAATAGGGTGGTTTAATCTTTCTTCTTTCCCCCTCTCCTCCCTGATGGCTTCACTAGAAATAAGCGTGACTAGGCTATGCTCTTTTGGTGTCCTTTATGTGCCTTACAGAGGGCATCTTCTAATGAGTTAGACTGAATGGAGGGCTGACGTAAAATCTTCACCTTGTTTCAAAGAATTTAGAGACCATGGTGGAGTCATGTCCACAAATAATGGAATATCAAAGACAGACTTCACAAACACTTCTTTGAACTCTCCATGTGATTTCTTTGGGGGCAAAAAGCATATTTTGCTTGAACGTCTGCCTAAACCTCGTCTAATCGTTAAAGTAGTCTGTTGCAGTTCTGAAAGTCTTGGGAAGTTTGCAGATAATATGACTTAGATATAAGCAGTTCTTGCAAGTGCTTATGAAGGGGAGGGGCGGGGAACAAAAACCAAAAACAAACCCAAAAAACCCAAAGCACCGTGATACTGGTTGGAGTAGTGTAACTGCTAGTGTGGGGAACGTAATGAACCAGCTAATTTGGGGAAGGAGGGGGACAAGGTAGTGTGGACGTCCCAGTAGCCTTGGGATGTGAATTTCCCACACTTGGAAGGTCAATGTCACAGTGACAAAACAATACTGGTAAATATGGTGTTAAGATTGGATATACTACATAAGTTACCCTACATGTTTGGGAGGGAGTGTGTGGTGTGGTGTTTTATTTTGTTTTCCCCATGTGTGTAACTTATAAATTAGCTTTCCTCTTTGTGGGAATACATTTGTTATGTGTGAGATTATTTTCTGTCTGGTTAGTTGACAACTCTCCATCTGGGCCCTGAAGCCTAGGATAAAGATGCTCTGCATGGTCCTATCCTATCGCTATCTTGAGGGTGATATATAGGTATTATAGCCTCTTTTTATAGTTCACTTTGTGTTCCTATTTGCCCCAGTTGGTTGTTGCTGCAGCAAAGTTGCGCTCTTGGCATATTGCAAGGGTTGGAAGAAAAATGCAGGGTAAAACTCTAAGTGTAATCAGGATATTCATTGTTCTTTCTAAAATTAACTTAGCAAACTGATCGATCTGTCGTGCTCTTAGGAACAAAAATATCTGGCTCTGTGAGTTGCAGTATCATCAGACTGGAAAAGGGATATAATAGGTGCTTGGTTCATGAAAGACCTTGTGAGTCTTACCTGGGTAGCTGGAGTTGTGGGGCTTAAAGAATGCATTTTAAGCGATGGGTAATCAATGTTGTTGAGAGGCAGCTTGTGACTAGTGGTGAAAATGACAGAAATTGGGAATGAGATTTTTGCTTGTATAATGTCAGACAAAAGTCTGTGATCTAAGGATATTTCCTGCTTGCTCTAATATTTTGTCAGTGTATTACGTGTTTGGTTTTTTCCCCCCTTCTGCTTGCTCTATGCGTGTTCTATCAGACAGGATGTATAGCCTATTGCAAGTGCTGACGCTGTCAAATTACCTATTGCTGTTTATGTGTGGGTCTTTTTTTCCCCAAAGAGCTAACAGACAGCAACTGACAATGAGATTTTCAGTGGCAGAAATGTGCCAAGTATCAATATAAGGAAATAATGGAGTATCTTTACTTTTATGTTCTTTTCCAGACTGCTCTGCAATGACTACAGCAAGATATAGGCCTACTTGGGACTTGGTACTTGACCCATTAGTGTCCTGCAAGCTCTGTCTTGGTGAATATCCCGTGGAGCAGATGACAACAATAGCACAATGCCAATGCATCTTCTGTACCCTGGTGAGTTTGCTTTTTTTATTAGGCATAAAAAACAATGCACAATTTTAACTGCAGAAATCATGTGTGTTTCTGCTGAGTGGGTTTCATCCTTAAGTATTGATGCTGCAGTGGAAATAAATAGTGTTGCTGCATACTTGGCACAAATGCTAGCAAGTAAACTTTTCTGGTTTTCTGTTTAAAAAAAAAAAAAGCAGCTTTTTACTCAGCACTTCAGTATACTGCTGCATCCAGTTACCTCCTTAGCAAGGTTATTCATACTTTCCCTTACTTTCCACTTTATCAGTGGCTTGATTTTGGCGTTGGGATTTTTTTGGTGGTTTTTTTTTTGTTGTTGTGTGCTGGTATTGGGGTTTTTTAACTCTAAACTAAACTAAAATAGAAGAGAATCCTCCAGTTGGAAAGGACCCACAATGATCATCTAGTCCAACTGCCTGACCGCTTCAGAGCTGACCAAAAGTTAAAGTATGTTGTTAAGGGCATTGTCCAAATGCCTCTTAAACACTGACAGACTTGGGATATCAACCACCTCTCTAGGAAGCCTGTTCCAGGGTTTGACCACCCTCTTTGTAAAGAAACGCTTCCTAATGTCCAGTCTAAATCTCCCCTGGTACTGCTTTGGACCATTCCCATGTGTCCTGTCACTGGATCCCAGGGAGAAGAGCTCAGCACCTCCCTCTCCATGTCCCCTCCTCAGGAAGCTGCAGAGAGCAATGAGGTTGCCCCTCAGCCTCCTCTCCATACTGGACAAACCCAAAGTCCTCAGCTGCTCCTCAAAGGCCATGCCTGCCAACTCTTTCACCAGCTTTGTTGCTCTCCTCTGGACACATTCAAGGGCCTTCACATCCTTCTTAAATGGTGGGGCCCAGAACTGCACACAGCACTCAAGGTGGGGCCACACCAACACCGAATAGAGCAGGATAATCCCCTCTTTTGCCCAGCTGGTGATGCTGTGTTTGATGCCCCCCAGGAGGGGGTTTGCCCTCGGCTGCCAGGGCTCACTGCTGACTCCTGTTGAGCTGCTGCTGACCAGCACCCCCAGATCCCTTTGTGCAAGGCTGTTCTCCAGCTGCTCTTTTCCCAATTCATACTTGTGCTCAGTGCTACTCTGTCCCAGGTGCAGAATCCGGCCTTTCAACTTGTTAAATTTCTTCCCATTAATCATTGCCCAACACTCCAATCTATCTAGATCCTTCTGCAAGGCAACTTGTCCCTCAAGAGAGTCAACAGCGCCTCCCAGTTTGGTATCATCAGCAAACTTGCTAATGGTGCATTCAACTCCTGCATCCAGGTTGTTGATGTGTATATTGAACGGAGCTGGCCCTAGAAGTGAGCCTTGAGGAACACTGCTGGTGACCGGTCACCAGCCAGATGTAACCCTTGAGCTCTGCCCTTCAGCCAGTTCTTCACCCAGCACACTGTTGTCCTCCACATCCCTCAGTTGAACAACTTGTCCAGAAGGATGCTGTGAGGGACAGTATAAAAAGCCTTACTAAAATCCAGAAAAGTATACCCACTGCCTTCCCATCATCCACCAGGCAGGTGACCTTACCGTAGAAGGATATCAAATTAGTTAAACAGGACTTTCCCCTTGTGAACCCACATTGGTAGTACCTGATGATTGCATTGTTCTTTAAATGCCTTTCAATAGTAGTCAGTATAGCCATGCACACACTTGTAAGTAGAAAATTATTTAATGTACTATAGATTCCATAACAGGTTTTCATTACAATATTGTTCAAATGCATGCCTGGAATAACAAGAATCTTGTCAGTTAAATACAAAACACTGTTTGGTGAACAAGAGTGTTGTATGTAGCAAAGATCATCATCACAGTAAATGCGTATTGCTAGTTTATGAACAGAGAAAGAAAAGTAGTACTAGTAGTTTTCCATCCCCAATGATGATTTGGAATAAAAATGTTAGATCCTTTAGTTTTTCAATGGATGCAAGTACACCAAAAACCTTGTAACGATGATCCAACAGTGGAGAAGTTACAGTAACATCAGTAAGAATATAATTTCTGGGATATCTGATACTTGAAGACTTTAACACTGTCATGAACTCTTGAGAAATTGTAGGTTCAGACATGGGATTGGGTGAGATTTTTAACTCAGAAGTCCTTTCCAACAATGTTGGTTTTTTGGTGGTGTTTTTTAACGTTGAAGAGCAAGGATTTTTTTTTAAGTAGTCTTTTCTATCTTTTATTTTTCTTCATGGAAATATTACCATTTTTTAAATGATAAAATTTTTTTCTGATGGTTATTGAGAAGACATAGAGGGTTGCCAATAGAACAGACAACTCCTTTTTGTTGCTTACAGAAAACAGCAAGAACAGAAATAATGCAAACAACTCAATTTCTAATACATGTAATATCCTAAAAACTCCAGGTTGTCACAACTGACTGTAACGTTAATGTTCCTTGGGAAAAGAGTGAGCGAGCACACAGGCAGGTGAACAGCTACAGTCTGTTGCAAACACTGTGCCTGTCCAGTTAAAAAATAAGTATTGCTTTTTTACGTACTTTGAAAGGAATGTTTGCTCAAGCATGCAAAAGTATATAAAGTAATAGGCTTCATGAAAAATAGAATAACAGGCCTCATGGAAACTTCTCTATTGTTCTAGTATTTACAGCTGAGTTTTCTGTGTCTCTCCCTGTTGCCTAGATGTGGAGAATATTTTAATTTCATTTTTTCAGTAACATTTAAGTGGCAGCAGAAAGGCTGGGCTGTCAGGTATGTCTCTTCCTCCGTAGCTGGTTCCTTCTGACGTTTGCTACCGTCACTGATCTTCCATTTCTTCTTGGTAGAATACGGTTACTGACCCTTACTGCTGTTATGAAAGATTTAACCTTTTGTAGATGTTAAAGATGTCGCCTTTGCCAATAACCTGTTCTTAGGACCTGACATAAGTAAATTTACTGTGGTGGCATTGGATTCTTGTGTTGAACTCTATTCAGGTGGAATCATCAGTCCATTTTTACCGCTTGTGTTAGATTGTCTTGAATAGTTCATTCAGCTTTATCCTGTTTAAGCAGATCAGAGTACCTTGTCTACCTCTTGTCTACCACTTGTATGAGCTTCACTACAGTGATATTTGAGTGCCCAGCAAAAATTACTTACCCTAAAGTTTTCCTGTGAATTAATAGGAAAGAATATTACCCTTGCTTTCATTGATAGTGGTGGGGTAAGAAATAAGAATCAATCCCAATAACTGCAAGAGGCAATAGCTATAAACCTGTTACAGACCAGGAATTCAGCGTGACTGAAACCCAGGGCCTCCATCTCTACCTTGTGGACAGCCTGCAGGTTAATAAATTGCCTAAGAAAATACTCCTGTAATGAGTCTGGCAAGACTGTTTAGCCCACTGGCAATGGTTAAGGAAGAGTGTGACAACTATGCACCGATTCCTCCACTGGTGTTCCTTCAGTGATGATTTCCAGAAACTTGGTGTTTCTGAAAATCATCATTGCAGTCCTGAATATGAACTGTGTTTTGTAAGCAGCCAAATTAGTTATTGAAAACCAACAAGAAAAAAAAATACCTTTTGAGTCAAAACTTTGGATGGAGTCTACGTACAGAAGATCCGGTACGTTATGTTAAGATAAGTGGAAATACACTTGGAGAAATATTTGACCATCTCTGTTTTGTTCTTGATGGACCAATTTTTTTCTGGCTTCTTGTTTTATATAAATGATCTGAGGTAACTGATGGCCTCTGCAGTGAAATGAGCAAAAAAAGGAAAAAAGGGATGTCTATTAGAAGTGTGAAAACTATTTTTCCTGCAGCTCTTGCTCTTAGCTCTAGCATTTCTGTCTAAATCACAGCAAGATGCGACAGCGTGAGTATTACAAAAAGATCTTTCAAGTGCAGTGCTACTGGTACGTAGGCAGAATCTAGATCAACGTGCAGATTTCTCAATCCTATAACATTTCTATCTGCAAGTCTTCACTCTTTATAACCATAGAAGTGCAGTGGTAACAATCTCATGAAGTATTGTCTCTTCCCAACACTTATACAATAAGACAACATTGCTATTCAGGAAAATAGAACAGGGACACTGTTTCCTTTTGCTCTCTGGCAGAGCTGTGCATGGATTGAATAGAGTGGACTGCTACTCCTCTGCTGATAAGGCATAGACGCTACAATTTCCCATCGTATTATTTTGCCAGTTGTGGCTATTAGTACAATATTCTATTATGGTTTTTTTCATTATGATTGTTAATGTGCACACAGTGCTGTGAGCTCTCAAGTTTTGTGTATCTCATCCATTAGGAATGTATCTGTTGTGGGATTGCTGGAGGTACCAGAGAAACAAAAGTTTAGAGAGTAGAAAGGAAAACAAGCTGGCTGCTGTTGGCTTTTTGTTTGTTTTTCTGAGGATTGTCAAGGGGCAAACTAGTATCTTGTTTCTTCTGGAATCATGTCAGCAATAGGACCAATCTTAAGTCTGCTTTTCAAATTTTGGACGAAAATGCTTAAATGTCTTGCAGTTTATTAAATCACTTTTTCATACTTAAATAGCACACAGTACATAGCTAATAACCTTAAATTTCAAGATAGCAATTCCGCAGTTGCTTGACCCAGCAGAAGTAACTGATTTTGCATGTTTTCTTCAAAAAGCTTTCCTTATGACACTTAGCACCTTATGGAAGGAAAGGGAGAGTAAAGCAGAACATCACTTTTTTTCTTTTTGTTTAATTTGTTTTGTATTAGTTATTGCACCAAAATTTTTCAGCTATTACTTAGCTTTTGCTGTTTTTTGGGGGTGAGGGGAGATATGGAGGGAGCAATTTTAGTTTAATTTCTACCTGAAATTCTGACCATTTTATAATCTATGATTAAATTCTCATGTGCCTTAAAAGACAGGATGTTCCCTTGATGTGTTACCAATTGTATATATACTAAAGTTACAACAGGTTTTGTTCCAGTTTATATTCTTACATGGAAGTCAAGCAGTTAGTTGCCTAAGTCTGTTCTGATTCAAGATTACATGTGTATG